AATAACTGAAAGATCGGAGAACGTATGTTCGCACGATCCGCGAGCGTAATTTGCATAACAAATTCTGAAATTATTGTCGCTCGATCGCGCGTTCGATCGCTATAAATAGGTAGAAACTATGAAGGTGATATTGTAAACAGTAGCCGAGAGCAAAATCGTGATTTTGCAATTAATACGAAGTGATACAAGATTGCACGACTGTTTACGGAGATTTTTCGAAGTCCGAGTCTCGGTTTATCGTTGCGCAGCACGTGCGAAAAATAGAGGTCCGTCACGTGCGAGATTAATGGTTCTTTATGCTCGGAGAAAAAGTATTTCATAATTGTTAAGAACATTGGTGATTTTATCGGAAGCATCATAATTCGCAAGTAAGTTATAACAAACAAAAAGTGTTAAATTCAAATGGATATACGGAAAAAAATAATCTCAAATCAATGTTAGATATTCTCATGTATAAGCAAGAATATTATATTCTTAGAAGATTTTTAGTTTTGAATTGAGCGCAAATAATACTTGCATCAATACAAATTCAAACAAATCGAGACTAAATTTTCTAAGAGGATTATAATATTCTTGCTTATACGGGATGCCCGGTATGTTTCGTATATTCGCTCATGTGCAGATAGAAGGGGAATTGATGGAAAGGGTAAACACCATTATGCAAAATTCGCAATAGTTAACGAGGAATTAATTATTCTGTCCGAGCTAATGAGCGCACGAGAAACGGTAGGCCGAATATAAAAAAAGAAAGATATCTTCCATCGGCGCGCGGTTGTGATATTTGCGAATCGCCGTGTTTCTTCACGGAATTTGTATTTCTCCACGTCGCTGTCTCTCGCAGTTTTGGGCGGAAGAATACGGCGGGCTGCGATGCGCAAATGTCACGGTCGCACACGAAGACGTCTTTCTTTCTACATGTTCGGCCAACCGCTTTTCGTACGTTCAGAGAGAATAATTAATTCCTCGTTAACTATCGCAAATTTTGCATAATGATGTTTACCCTTTCCATTAGTTTAACCCCTTCTATTTGCATACGAGAGGATGTATGAAACATATCGGACACTCTGTATGAGAATGTTTACACTGAAAAAAAAGTGTCACATTAACCAGAAAGAGAACAACTAGATACGTTTCGATATATGTAATTTTGTGCGCGTGTGAGTTTCGAATTTAAGTAAAATAAAAAAGCAACATTAGTTTGAAATATTGAATCAATAGATTACAAGAAAAACGTGATGAACATATAATTCGAAACTTTTTCCTGCCTGTGCATTTCTGAGAAGAATCGATATCAATCTCCAAATTATACAGCAACCACAGACGAGAATCCGCAGGTATCTCGATGCATCCTCTCGTAAGATACGTCTCTAAATTTATAGTTAACTCCTGTGAAATCGATTTGTTGCGGTTCTCCTTTATTCGCGAGGAAATTAAATAGGACCGTTCGTCATGCGAATTTTACATGCGCGTTGCGTGTGTCGTGCTGTCGTAACGCATGATAACTTGGAGACCGGTGTTTGTAAACTTGCACCATGAACCATAAATGCTTCCAACGTTCGACGCCAGCTCGCGAGAGACTTTCACCTGGCGCGACTGACCGTTTGTTCGCTCGCGAGTTCGACAAGTTCGCCGTCCGCCACGTGTCTCGTTCTATACGACACACGGCTTCGTCGGACTCTCGCAGCATGCGGAATGACTTCCCCGCAGAAGTTTCTATTCACCGGGAGACAGATTTCGCTCGTATCGGAGAGATCGACTTTTACTCCGGCCGTATTAAAATACGTGAAAATCCTTTCAGCATCGCTAGGTAATTTCGAGCCACTTGGTAACTTTTGAGCGGAGTGATTAATAGGTGTATGATTGCGTTACATTATATTGGCATTGAGAGACTATATAATTATAGATCACAGTCACGAGTTACAACCTTCCCGTTGGACGATTATCTAGAATGCTAACGACCATCAAGAGCGCTCGACAGCACGTGTAAGTCATTACAGCGTCGATGGCGAACCTAGATCTCTGACGTCCGACGTTTTTCATCTCATTAAGGCGTTGCGCGCCGTCTCGCCTTTCACACAAAACTACTCGGCGTATAAAATTATTAAAGTAAGATCATTGCCGTTGTTGGTAACATTATAATTAAATATCATTGCCTCCGGTAACGCGCGGACTCGAGTTACACGGCGGTGTTTGAACGGTCGGCGAGGTTCTCGGCGACTTCAAAAGTCGCGACACGATCCGGAGTTCGCGGAGTCACGGTGCGTTCTCGAGACGACCTCTCTGACACGTGTGAAGGATACGTTCCTTCCCGGGCGAGGCATACTTCGCGGACACTTATAATGGATTCCTCACGCGGACGGAAGGTCAAGATCGATGGGAAAAGAGATGCGAGATACACAATTGGATGAATATTTATTAGCGGGACCCATTAAAGCTGGATATTTCGCGTCGAAGCGATGTCCGCGCGGCACTCTCTTTTTCTCGAGTCGTCGTTCTTTTTCTCCTCCGGCGCGATGGCCAGCCTGGCCCTCGGCGTAACATCAATGCCTGGGTACGTTTTATCATCGGCTCGCGCTGCGTGCATTGAAATCGCGAGATCTGCCGTGCGTTGCGCTAAAACATCGCGCTCTTTTGTTCGTGCGGCGAATTGAAACGCATTAAGCGGCATTGTAGCTACCGCTTAACGGATGTTAATTGGAGCACCCGATATCTTTATACGTGACGAGTGAGTTCTTTTCCTCCAACGTGTGTTCTGATCAACCTCGCGGTTGGCTATTATCCATATCGCAATTCTTGAATCGGAAAATTAGAGATAAAAGATAAGAAGTCGCAGTGTCGCGTTGCACAATTTGTAATTAATAATCAAGACGGGATAAGAAAGATGTAAAATCGTGTCATTTAATTTTATACGAATTAAGAGCGCGACGAATGAGAGCGTATTAGTGACACGCGCGAGTATGTTTTTCAGCTATCGACTTGTGCAGTCTCCGGCACCTGCAATATTTACATATCGCGAAGTTGGCTTGCAATAAATGCGAGATAACGTTGTCCCGTATAATGATCGTAAAGTTAAAATAACAAGCGACACGACAGTCAGTAGGTACTTCTTTATATATGGCAATGTTTGTTACAAAAAGAAAAATATATCAAATATAATCGTTTAAACGTTGATAATGTAATGTTATGTATTCTCATAGCACTTTAAGGAGACACTATACTTGAGAATTTTATCGGCAAAATACTGACTTTCTTACGTCGTTATTTACATATTCAGCAACGAGGTGAGTGTATATATACATATGTAACAAGTTATATATTTTGCAGGGGAAAATGAGGAAAACTTTGCAGGTAAAATATTAATTATTTCTAGGGAATTATATAATTTTTTGCATAAATCGGTTTCTCAAGTTAGTATATGTATAAAGGTATTGAGGTATAAGATCATCGAAAAATCAATATTTTACGAGATATTTCATATTTTATGGTGAAAAATATCAGGATAAAATTTCAAATATCTTGAGAAATATTCTCTTAATGATCTTACTTTAATAATTTTATGCGCAGAGTAGCCTGAGAAATCGATTTACATTAAAAACTATACAATTCCTTTTTAAAAAACGAAGTTGACCTTCAAAACTCTATCTATAAAAATATCTATGTATAAATAAAATCGATAATATCGATAATAGATTGTAACGTTGTTGACATTTTTAGTCCTATCTAAATGAGAGTGTTTTTTTATCGGATTTTGTCATCCCCTTAAACGCTTTGGTATCCCCTTAAACAATATTTATACCGACGAGAGTCGCGTGATTATGGAGTTGATCATAAATCTTTTCCTCTACCGTAAGTCCTCTACCGTCCGTGAAAAATGAAAATTTTCTAATTTGAGAACTTTAAAAAATTTTCACATTTTACGAATTTATATTAGAATAAAAGATTTATAATCTATCTTTTGAATATTAAACGGACAACATTCATAATTGAACGGTCTTAGCGTGAAATTACGGTGAGAATACGGGTCGATATTTATAAGAATAGAACACGTATTTTCCATGTGAAAGTATCGTTTATATTTATCATGGTACCGCCTGTCTGTAACGTCTTTTTCTTTCTGGTATTTCAGGTTATCTGGTATTTGATGCTCGATAGTTTCAGGTATTCGGTATTTTTAATTCCGATGATCTCTGATATATGGTCATCGATAACTGATAATTCGTGTAGAATAGGAATAGGAATTGTTATCGTGTATAAGGACACTTTCATCTCTTATGAAATACGCTTCCACCGTGCGATTGATCTCACCTGGTTTCACCGGACGACCAGTTTTTAACAACGTTGCATAAGACCGCGACTTTACTCGTGGTAAAAGCAAGGTTTTGCTAATACACACTGGGAAAAGGAAGAAAAGGATACGAGTAGCGTTCGGGTGTGAGCGGCAGGTCAGTAGTTTGCCGGACACGTGTCTTTTCGATATAAATGTGAAAGTTTTTCACTTATATTTCAAAAATACTTGTGGATAGCTACTGGCCTTTCTTTACATCGAACGTAAGATAAAGTTTGCTTAAAATAGTATAGAATGCAAAAATAACTGGAAATTTAGTAATGCCTGAAAATTGCCGACAGATAATTTGCGGATAAATCAATTGGTAAGATACTTTTGAAAAAGCGAAAATTAAAACAATTCAAGTTGATCAAAAAGTACCTGAAAGTGAAATTCATAACTATTGTGCTTAAATATAACGCCGGTTACAATAGCCCGCGTCATTGTTTCTATTTGACTTCTTCTACAATTATCATTATCGGAACATTACCGTATCTCACTGCGGTAGTTGTATCATCAAAATTGCATTGTACAAGTCGATGAATTGCAGTTAGCAGTAACGGTGCGCAAGCGATTACGGGCAAGGACTCCTTGAGAAATATATTTTCGCGAGTATTCTCTATCGCGAAGGATCGCTATTGCCGTTTCCCGACAAATAACGATTACGGTAACTTACTTGATAACCGTTTGTTTCATGCTATTGGTCATAGCGACTGGCGTTTCTGTGCTTCGCTTGCCTTGCTTCCGTCAGCTCTCACTAACACATAACCACAAAAAACACACTGGTCCAACGTTCCTTCTGCCACTTTCGGCCCGGCTTTTTAATTTAATCGAAAAACCGACGTGCTTCCCGGAATACCGGCCGGAGACTTCTCATGCTCCGATACGGTTATCTTGTTTCCTCCTCGGTATCTTCTATTCTCGGTTATCGCTTTTCTTCCTCGACGATCTCTTTTAAAGAAAATCGAAAAGAAAGAAGGCTCTTGAGAGGAAGTCGCAGCCTTCTTCCGAGATCAGGATACGAATCAGTTTCGACTGTTAGTGCCGGACTGAAGTAGCGCGCGCGCTTCTGCTCGTATTTAAACGTCCTCTCCCTCCCTCCACGCCTTCTCTTTCCCTCTCTCTTGTAGGTTCCCATCGAGAACATTTTCTCGGCTGGGCAAATTGCTACGAAAAATCGGAGACATACTTTTTTTCTAAATTCGCAAAATACACCGTTTCCGTTGTTTTGTAATGTTAGGAAAAGAAGAAAGAGAGAAAATTTTGAGAAATATTTTTCATAGAAAAGAAGAACATTGGAATATTATTTATCAAATAAATTTTTTAACTGAGACAGTCTATTGCCTCAATTTCGTAACAAAAATGATTACGAAAACGTTATATAAAAGGATTAAAAATATCGCAATATATATCTCGTTCGCAATCTCGCGTTTAATTTCTCGATCTCGCATATATTTACGTTTTTTATAAAGACTTACCTGGTACTCTGATCTTCATAATAATCTTATGCACTGAATAAGTTATGATATGTATGTAGTATTACTGACTCACGAAGTCGATTTGAATAGCAAGGAGACATTTCCTTATTACTGTGCATAATTTCGATTTGTCGATTTAGAAACGTTACGTTGAAGTTGTCATACGTTCGTCTGATGGTAAAACCCATGGCATACATAATAACATAAGCAATAAGCAAATTAACCACAACCACAGTAAATTATCCTCCTCGCGTTCTAAGAATAATTGACTATGATTAGTTAATTTGCTTATTGCTTGCATCTTATTACTTACATTTTCGTGTGTGCCATTAACTTAATTCTGAAAGATTCGAGAAATCAGAATCGAAACTTTTGTTTGCTTGAGTAATCTTGTTTAACCATGACACTACAAACTTCATTTTTAGTCATTTCAAGTTATTGAAGCACTTACCATAAGGTATAAGCATTGTTCGATTGTTCTTTTTCTCTTTGTTTACTTTTTACATAATTTCAATGCATAGTTTGGATTTTTTTTATTTTTATATGCGTATATATCTCATATTTTATGAAGTCATACAATAACACATACATTGAATAACATAGAATAGTTATAGTTGTGGAATAAAATAGAATAATATTGAAACTTTTTGTATTGATTCTACCTTTAAAATTAATATGCTATAAACTGTAATTTATATCTTATTAATATCTCAGTCTTAAGATTTATTGACAGATTAACTCAGTAGAAAAAAACTTCACAATATAAAATAGTAAAAAAAAAAAGTGAAACTAAAGTAAAAATGTAAAATTAAAATAAAATC